GTTAATGAACAATTAAGACAATTTAAAAGCAGTGTAAGGGAGGTCATCCAAATACAACTTTTTAATTACCTCCCTTACACTGCTTTTAAGTTATGTTTAAAGAAATGCATATTTATAAAGGAAGACCAGTAAAAATATCTGCAAATGTTGCATCTTTTTTTTTTTTACCAAAAAATCCATATGAAAGATTTGACATCATATTTTAAATTCTATTATAAAATAGATTAAGTTAGCACTATGGTAAATTTAAATTATATATATAAATATAAATCTGGGGGGGGGGGGGGGGGGGGGTTAATACGCAACAGCATAGTGTATTGCACAAAAGCAAAAAAAAAGGGGGGGTAAATTTTTAATATTTTTTTGTGGGGGGAAGGGGGGTCAATTCGCAACATGTAAAGTGTATTGCACAAAAGCAAAAAATTGAATATAAATTCAAATCATATAACCAATTCTTTCTCATTTCAGATTTCAGAAATTAAATAGAAAATTTCATCAAATTATTTTTTTTTTTGCAAAATAAGGGGGGGGGGGGGGGGGTCAATACACCACAGCATTGTGTATTGCACAAAAGCAAAAAATTGAATATAAATTCAAATCATATAACCAATTCTAAGTTCTTTGACTACAGTTATTCTGTGTCAGAAACCTATTATGTGTCAAATATTTAATTACAATCCAAATTCAGACCTATATCAAGCGCGAATATTGTGTCCATTTTTGCCCCAACTGTTCAGGGTTGGACCTCTGCGGATGTATCCAGCTGCGCTCAGCGAAGCATTTTATTTTTTTATGAAGTGAACTCCTTTAATTAGATAATAATCTATTTTTATTATACCCCAAGCAATGAAGTTGCGGAGGATATAATGTTTTTGACCCGTCCGTCTGTCTGTCTGTCCGTCCGTCAGTCCTGTTCTTGTCATCGCAACTCCTCTGAAACCACACAACAGAATTTCATGTCACTTTGTAGATAATAATACTATGTAGATGTGCATATTGACAGGAAATTATGATTCAATTTTTATACGCCCGTTTACGGGACGTGTCATGGTATACCGTTGACCGTCTGTCCGTCCATCCATCCGTCGTCAACATGGCAGACAGTAACTCAAGAATGCTTTCACCAACTTGCAAGAAATTTTGGTGAATTGTTTATAACTATTGACATGAGCTCCCTTTTGGATTTTTATAAATTTTAGATTTAACGTTTCCGAGTTGCAGGGTTTTATTCATAAAAAAAGGGGGATTTTCCAGTTTTTCGGACAATAACTAAAAAATGCTTTCAGCAGTTCTCATGAAACTTTGGTTAATTGTTTATATCTGTTGATGTAAGCTCCCTTTAGAATTTTATAAATTTTAGATTTTACATTTCTGAGTTATGGCCATGGAGTTTTATTCATTAAAAAAGGGGGGATTTTCCAGTTTTTGGACAATAACTCAAAAATGCTTTCAGCAGTTCTCATGAAACTTTGGTGAATTATTTATTGCTATTGATGTAATCTCCCTATTGATTTTCATAAATTTCAAATATGACATTGAGAAGAAATTGAAATTTATTTGTTTATAGTCTGACAACAGATTTACTAAGTATTGCGCAACAGCACAGTGTATTGCACAACAGCAAGAAATCTTTAATTGAATATAAATTCAATTCATATAACCAATTTCAAGTTCTTTGACTACATTAAATATTCCCTTGAATTTGACAGTTGTAGAAATTAATCCTACATTTCATTGCAGTAAAAAATTTCCGAGTCATACACATATATATCAGGTATTTCAAAGCACCATACTTTTTTAGTCCCCTACTGACGAAGTCAAAGGGGACTATATGTTTGCACTCTGTCCGTCTGTCTGTTCATCCGTCAGTCCAGCAAATCAGTTTCCCCGCACTTTTATTTATACCCCCACTTTAAAAAAGTGGTGGTATACTGTTTTACCTCTGTCTGTCCATCCATCCGTCAGTCTGTCAGTCCGTCCATCTGTGCCATGAAAATTTTTCGTTGCATTTTTCTCAGGAACTACAATACAAAGATTTCTGAAATTTTGTTTCAGGGTTTATATAAGTAGGCTATACCGTGTGATACGTTTTCAGATTCATCACTCAACAACTTCCTGTTTACCGAACACGTATCATTTTACACATGATAGCCAAGTTGAAAATTTTCGGCACATTTTTCTCAGGAACTACAATACAAGGATTTCTGAAATTTGGTTTCAGGGTTTATATAAGTCGGCTATACCGTGTGATGCGTTTTCAGATTCATCACTCAACAACTTCCTGTTTACCGAAATATTTGGGCGGGGGTATCATCAGTGAGCAGTGGCTCGCAGTTTCACTTGTTCTTCATGCTTGAAGATATTGATTTGATATTTGGTATATAGTTTTAACATGACAAGTTACAGATCAAGTTTGAATTTTGTTCTGGTTTGATGATTTTGTGCAGAGTTATTTGGTCCTCAGACTTAGAAAATTCATGCAAATATTCAGTTTTCCACACTTTTTTTCATCATGCTGGAAGGTATTGATTTGATATTTCTTATATAGTTTACACCATGACAAGTTATGGATAAGGTTAGCATTTTGTTCCAGTACGATGAATTTTTGTTGAGCCTTCGACTTTTGTCGAAAAAGCGAGACATAGCGATCCTACATTCCGTCGGCGTCGTTGTTGTCGTCGGCGGCGTCCACAAATATTCACTCTGTGGTTAAAGTTTTTGAAATTTTAATAACTTTCTTAAACTATCCTGGATGTCTACCAAACTTGGACAGAAGCTTGTTTATGATCATAAGATAATATTCCAAAGTAAATTTTGTAAAAAAAAAATTCCATTTTTTCCGTATTTTACTTATAAATGGACTTAGTTTTTCTGCCAGGAAACATTACATTCACTCTGTGGTTAAAGTTTTTGAAATTTTAATAACTTTCTTAAACTATCCTGGATTTCTACCAAACTTGGAAAGAAGCTTGTTTATGATCATAAGATAGTATCCAGAAGTAAATTTTGTAAAAAAAAAATTCCATTTTTCCGTATTTTACTGGTAAATGGACTTAGTTTTTCTGCCAGTTAACATTACATTCACTCTGTGGTTGAAGTTTTAAAAATTTTAACAACTTTCTTAAACTATCCTGGATTTCTACCAAACTTGGAAAGAAGCTTGTTTATGATCATAAGATAGTATCCAGAAGTAAATTTTGTAAAAAAAAAATTCCATTTTTCCGTATTTTACTTGTAAATGAACTTAGTTTTTCTGCCAGTTAACATTACATTCACTCTGTGGTTAAAGTTTTAAAAATTTTAACAACTTTCTTAAACTATCCTGGATTTCTACCAAACTTGGAAAGAAGCTTGTTTATGATCATAAGATAGTATCCAGAAGTAAATTTTGTAAAAAAAAATTCCATTTTTTCCGTATTTTACTTATAAATGGACTTAGTTTTTCTGCCAGTTAACATTACATTCACTCTGTGGTTAAAGTTTTTAAAATTTTAACAACTTTCTTAAACTATCCTGGATTTGTACCAAACTTGATTAAAAGCTAGTTTTTAGAAGGAAATTTTGTTAAAATTTTGTTTCATTTTTTCCGTATTTTACTTATAAATGGACTTAGTTTTTCTTCCAGTTAACATTACATCCAGTCTGCAGTTTAAGTTTTTAAAACATTTATTAGATTCATAAACTATCCTGGATTTTTACCAAATTTGGACAGAAGCTACTTACAATCAAAAGATAGTATAGACAGGAATATTTTTATTAATTTTTTTCCTCGTTTTTGTTGAGCCTGTGATTAACAGCAAAAGTAGGCGAGACACTGGGTTCCGCGGAACCCTTACGAATTTTTAACCAGTAGGTGACTATGTATTGCCAAGCAGTACTCTCAGAATACTTGTTTTGTATGGTGTTTCTATAAAATATTTTGGAAACTTGAGGTTACATGGTTACTAAAGCTTGTAAACAGGAAAGAAGGGGATGAAAATTTGATTGGTTAACTTCCAGTGATGGTTATTATCTTAAATGCAATGAAATGTTATCTGAAATTTTGTCTGTAGTACTGGACAGGATAAAACTTGACTCATGCAAAGTATTTCTTTATTTGAAACAAAGAAAAATTCTGCACAATTTTTTGAAAAGTGCCAATTTAACAAAAACTAATAGGGGAACAACAATGGTGGTATTACTCCTATATGTCTGTCTAGCAGGTATCATTTGACCTTGACCTCATTTTCATGGTCAATGTTAAGTTTTCTTGGTTAAGTTTGTTTCTTAGATACTATAAGCAATAGGTCAATTATATTTGATGCATGGAATGATTGTAAGATGTACATGTCTATCTGGCAGGGTTCATCTGACCTTGACCTCATTTTCATGGTTCATTCCATTGGTTAATGTTAGGTTTTCATTATTTAGTTTGTTTCTTAGAAACTATATGCAATAGGTCATCTATATATTTGGTGTATGGAATGATTGTAAGGTGTACAATGTACATGTATTTCTGGTTTGGTTGAAATGACCTTGACCTCATTTTCTTGGATCATGTTAAGTTTATTTGATACTTGTAGTAAAACTTTATATTTAGGATTATCAACATATAATCAATGGTCAGTAAAGCAGGCGATACATTTGAGCGTGTGCACTCTTGTTACATTTGCCATGTAGCCACTTCCTGTTTGCCGATAGTTTGAAATTAAACAAACAATCATTGTACAAGGGAAATTTTCGTGAAAGTTTTCTCGACTTTAATGAAATTGAATAATCAGTTATGCTCCAGTATACATGTTACGTCAATCAATTGCATGCAGCAACGCAGGTCCGGACCTGGTATTGGTTAAATTTAACATGGTAAACCTAACAACTACTTAATCTAAACAAAATTGCCTGCTCTGAATGGTTTGGATTTTTGAAAGGTTACTAGGTACTAACATAAATATAACTAATAAAATAAGAGTGGATCATATTAAATCCTGTATTATGACATGACTGTACATGTTTATTTTAAGATTGAAATGACCTAGTATTTGATATTGGTAACAAAAAATAATGGATTATCGAGGCATGCAAATGCCTCATGGCTTCCCACCACCACAAATGCAAGGAAGGATGGGAGAAGGAATGATGAACCAACAGAGGGATATGATGGGTGGAAATATGATGAATCAGCCTCCACCAGGAGCTATGATGAACCCACAGATGATGCCAGAACATTTCAATCCAAATGTAAGTTCAGTGTATCTTTCATAGTACAAGTTCATGTAAAGTTTAGAAATAGGTCATCATTGTTTCAAAGAAAGTACCTTTTTATATGACCGCAAAAAATTTTGTGGTCGTATATTGGTATCCCGTCGTCGTCAATTTTTTCTCCTCAAGATTTCAGAAATCAAAAAGAAAATACTTCAAATTTAAAAAAAAAAAAAAAAAGGGTGGGGAGGTCAATTCGCAACAGCATAGTGTATTGCACAAAAGCAAAAAATTGAAGATAAATTCAAATCATATAACCAATTCTAAGTTCTTTGACTACAGTTATTCTGTGTCAGAAACCTATTATGTGTCAAATATTGAATTACAATCCAAATTCAGACCTGTATCAAGCGCGAATATTGTGTTCTTTTTTGCCCAATCTGTTCAGGGTTGGACCTCTGCGGTCGTATCCAGCTGCGCTTGGCGAAGCAATTTTTTCCATATCAGAAAAGGTCATTCATGACTACATGTAGTCCAGCCCTGGCCTCAGTGACTTATTTTCATTTTTTATTATACAAAAATTTTTGCGGTCGTATATTGGTATGACGTTGGCGTCGTCGTCGTCGTCCGAAGACACATTGGTTTTCGCACTCTAACTTTAGTTTAAGTGAATGGATCTCTTTGAAATTTTACCATAAGGTTAAATACCATAAAAGGAAGGTTGGGATTGATTTTGGGGGTTATGGTACGAACAGTTAAGGAATTAGGGGCCAACAAGGGGCCAAAATAAGCATTTTCTAGTTACCAGACAATAACTGTGGAACGGTGTATGGATCTCTCTGAAATTATACTACAAGTTTCCATACCACAAAGGGATGGTTAGGATTTGCTTTGGGGGGTTATGGCTCAAACCGTTTAGGAATTAGGGGCAAAAAAGGGGGGAAAACAAGGTTGTCCTGGTTAATGGACAAATACTTTAGTACAAAACATAATTTAAAGCAGTGTAAGGGAGATAAATCAAATACATCATTGAAATTACCTCCCTTACACTGCTTTTAAATTATGTATAAAGTAATGGTTAATGAACAATTAAGATAATTTAAAACAGTGTAAGGGAGGTAATCCAAATACAACGTTTTGGTTACTTCCCTTACACTGCTTTTAAATTATGTTTAAAGAAATGCATATTTATAAAGAAAGACCAGTAAAAATATCTGCAAATGTTGCATCTTTTTTCTTACAAAAAAATCCATATGAAAGATTTGACACTATATTTTAAATTCTATTACAAAATAGATTAAGTTAGCACTATGGTAAATTTAAATGGGTAATTATGGTTGCAAACTCCATTGAAAATTTGAATTGAGATTATGACCATATCTTGAGGGAAAGAATTTTTTGGGGGAAAAAAAGGGGGGGGGGGGGTAAAAAAGAAATTGTGGGGGGTCAATTTTTTCTCATTTCAGATTTCAGAAATTAAAAAGAATTATTCTTCAAATATTATTTTTTTTTCAAATTTCAAATATTGAAAAATTTCAAGAAGTAATCTTTAATTGCACAGTATGGCGCATTAGATTTGTAAAATTTTTGACTAAATTTATTTATTTGTTATGCCGCATCTAACCGTGTATTTAGATTTTTAATTTTGGGTCCAGTTTTCAAATTGGTCTACATTAAGGTCCAAAGGGTCCAAAATTAAACTTAGTTTGATTTTAACAAAAATTGAATATATGGGGTTCTTTGATATGCTGAATCTAAACATGTATTTAGATTTTAGATTTTTGGCCCAGTTTTCAAGTTGGTCCAAATTGGGGTCCAAAATTAAACTTTGTTTGATTTCAACAAAAATTGAATATATGGGGTTCTTTGATATGCTGAATCTAACCATGTATTTAGATTTTTTATTTGTGGACCCTGCTATCAAATTGGTTCATATTGAGGTCAAAAGGGTCCAAAATTAAACTTCGTTTGATTTCAGCAAAAATTGAATTATTGGGGTTCTTTGATATGCCAAGCTTGTTTACAAACACTGTAGATTCACACTTTATTCCTTTACTGACCGCCATTACTTTTCAACCCTGTAGTAAAAACATTTAGTACATTCAGCATTCATTTTTATACGACCGCAAAAAAATTTTGTGGTCGTATATTGGTATGACGTTGGCGTCGTCGTCGTCGTCGTCGTCGTCCGGCATCGTCGTCGTCGTCGTCCGGCGTCGTCGTCCGAATACATACTGGTTTTCGCACTCTAACTTTAGTTTAAGTGAATGGATCTTTTTGAAATTTGACCATAAGGTTAAATACCACAAAAGGAAGGTTGGGATTGATTTTGGGGGTTATGGTACCAACAGTTAAGGAATTAGGGGCCAAAAAGGGGCCAAAAATAAGCATTTTCTAGTTTCCAGACAATAACTGTGGAACGGTGTATGGATCTCTCTGAAATTATACTACAAGTTTCCATACCACAAAGGGATGGTTAGGATTTGCTTTGGGGGGTTATGGCTCAAACCGTTTAGGAATTAGGGGCAAAAAAGGGGGAAAAACAAGGTTGTCCTGGTTAATGGACAAATACTTTTGTACAAAACATAATTTAAAGCAGTGTAAGGGAGATAAATCAAATACATCATTGAGATTATCTCCCTTACACTGCTTTTAAATTATGTATAAAGTAATGGTTAATGAACAATAAAGATAATTTAAAACAGTGTAAGGGAGGTAATCAAAATACAACGTTTTGGTTACTTCCCTTACACTGCTTTTAAATTATGTTTAAAGAAATGCATATCTATAAAGGAAGACCAGTAAAAATATCTGCAAATGTTGCATCTTTTTTTTTTACAAAAAAATCCATATGAAAGATTTGACAGTATATTTTTATTTCTATTATAAAATAGATTAAGTTAGCACTATGGTAAATTTAAATGGGTAATTATGGTTGCCAACTCCATTGGAAATTTGAATTGAGATTATGACCATATCTTGAGGGAAAGAATTTTTTTGGGGAAAAAAGGGGGGGATAAAAAGAAATTGTGGGGGGTCAATTTTTTCTCATTTCAGATTTCAGAATTTAAAAAGAATTATTCTTCAAATATTATTTTTTTTTCAAATTTCAAATATTGAAAAATTTCAAGAAGTAATCTTTAATTGCACAGTATGGCGCATTAGATTTGTAAAATCTTTGATCACATTTATTTATTTGTTATGCCGAATCTAACAGTGTATTTAAATTTTTAATTTTGGGTCCAGTTTTCAAATTGGTCTACATTAAGGTCCAAAGGGTCCAAAATTAAACTTTGTTTGATTTTAGCAAAAATTGAATATATGAGGTTCTTTGATATGCTGAATCTAAACATGTATTTAGATTTTTGATTTTTTGGCCCAGTTTTCAAGTTGGTCCAAATTGGGGTCCAAAATTAAACTTTGTTTGATTTCAACAAAAATTGAATATGTGGGGTTCTTTGATATGCTGAATCTAACCATTTATTTGGATTTTTTATTTGTGGACCCCGTTATCAAATTGGTTCATATTGAGGTCAAAAGGGTCCAAAATTAAACTTTGTTTGATTTCATCTAAAATTGAAGTATTGGGGTTCTTTGATATTCCAAATCTAACCGTGTATTTAGATTTTTAATTTTTGGTCCTGTTTTTTAAATTTGTCTACATTAAGGTCCAAAGGGTCCAAAATTAAACTTAGTTTGATTTTAACAAGAATTGAATTCTTGGGGTTCTTTGATATGCTGAATCTAAACATGTGTTTAGATTTTTGATTATGGGCCCAGTTTTCAAGTTGGTCCAAATTGGGGTCCAAAATTAAACTTTGTTTGATTTCAACAAAAATTGAATATATGAGGTTCTTTGATATGCTGAATCTAACCATGTATTTAGATTTTTGATTATGGGCCCAGTTTTCAAGTTGGTCCAAATTGGGGTCCAAAATTAAACTTTGTTTGATTTCAACAAAAATTGAATATATGAGGTTCTTTGATATGCTGAATCTAACCATGTATTTAGATTTTTTATTTGTGGGCCCCGCTATCAAATTGGTTCATATTGAGGTCAAAAGGGTCCAATATTAAACTTTGTTTGATTTCATCAAAAATTGAATTATTGGGGTTCTTTGATATGCCAAATCTAACTGTGTTTTTAGATTTTTAATTTGGGTCCCGTTTTTTAAATTGGTCTTCATTGAGGTCCAAAGGGTCCAAAATTAAACTTAGTTTGATTTTAACAAAAATTGAATTCTTGGGGTTCTTTGATATGCTTAATCTAAATATGTGTTTAGATTTTTGATTATGGGCCCAGTTTTCAAGTTGGTCCAAGTTGGGGTCCAAAATTAAACTTTGTTTTGATTTCAACAAAAATTGAAAAATGGGGTTCTTTGATATGCTGAATATAACCATGAATTTAGATTTTTTATTTGTGGGCCCCGCTATCAAATTGGTTCATATTGAGGTCAAAAGGGTCAAAATTAAACTTTGTTTGATTTCATCAAAAATTGAATTATTGGGGTTCTTTGATATTCCAAATCTAACCGTGTATTTAGATTTTTAATTTCAAGTCCCGTTTTTTAAATTGGTCTACATTAAGGTCCAAAGGGTCCAAAATTAAACTTAGTTTGATTTTAGCAAAAATTGAATTCTTGGGGTTCTTTGATATGCTGAATCTAAACATGTGTTTAGATTTTTGATTATGGGCCCAGTTTTCAAGTTTGTCCAAGTTGGGGTCCAAAATTAAACTTTGTTTGATTTTAACAAAAATTGAATATATGGGGTTCTTTGATATGCTGAATCTAACCATGTATTTTGATTTTGGACATTGGACCATAATAGGTAAATTAAAAAAATTCAAGTTCTTAGACCACATTCTTTCTGTGTCAGAAACCTATGCTGTGTCAAATATTTAATAACAATCCAAATTCAGAGCTGTATCAAGCTTGAATGTTGTGTCCATACTTGCCCCAACTGTTCAGGGTTCGACCTCTGCGGTCGTATCAAGCTGCGCCCCAGCGAAGCATTTTATTTAATTATTTTTAACTCTAGTTTTGATCCATCTATCAAAAAATATTTATTACAAACATTATCTACCAATCAGAAGAGCACAGGACTTCAGTTTTGTACAGAAAGCTCTCCCCCAAATGGGCGGTCTCTGATGACATATATTTATTTACTGAATTTACCCCTATAAGGGACTTTTTAACTTCTTTTCCTATTTTGTTGTATTAATCATGTAATGTATCCAACTTTCAAGTTCCAGTTTCAATACAACATTCATAAAGGCTGAACTTGTAAAGAGGGAGGAAAATTTATACTACAGCCCATACTGCGGCCAATGTATATTTGGTATATAAAGTTGCACATTGACTGTATATATAATAAATATGAATTGTTTTCTGTGTTTGCTTTGATCAGTATTGCAAGTACATCTAGGAACTAGAGTCTTGATGTACTCTTAGTTAAATTTTGCCTTATATGGAAGATTTTAATTAAATACCCTGAAAAGACCACAAAAAGACTTTTCAAAGGTTTTTTAAGCAGTTTCATACCATAAAAAACAACAATTATGTTTCATTTTACTAAATCTGTGTTTTAATTACTTGTAAATTTCACAAAATGTCATTGACAACCACTCTGCAGAAATTCCTGTTACCCCAACATCTGGATGGTTTATTCACCAAAACTAGGCGGACAAAACTGAAGTAGAAAAAAGTGCCAAATATGAAAAAAATAAGACTGGGTATGACCAAACTTTGCATTTGGAACATAAAAGTAATAATTTAGAATATTAAAAAGCAATTATTTAACATAGCAATCCAATTACAAACATTTCAACACTAGTTTTATAGATGAAGGGTATATATTAAATCTAACCATGTATTTAGATTTTTATACGGCCGCAAAAAAATCTTGAGATGATTAGCTGTAAATTTATTTTTAGAAGTTACTATTAATTAATATTAATTTTAACCATGACTGTATGTCATTTTATATTTTAATATTTTATGATGTATTTAAATGAGTAGTTATGGTTGCAAACTCTATTAGAAATTTGAATTGAGATTAGTTTTGGAATAAGGGAAAGTGGGATTTTGGGGGGGGGGGGGGGGGGCTACAATTTTCTCATTTCAGATTTCAGAAATTAAAAAGAAAATTTCTTCAAATATTTTTTTTTTTTGGGGGGGGGGGTTAATATTCAACAGCATAGTGTATTGCACAAAAGCCAAAAAAATCATATAACCAATTTTAAGTTCTTTGACTACAGTTATTTGTGTCAGAAACCTATTATGTGTCAAATATTTAATTACAATCCAAATGTAGACTTTGTATCAAGCGCGAATATTGTGTCCATTTTTGCCCCAACTGTTCAGGGTTACCCCTCTGCGGTCGTATCCAGCTGCGCTCAGCGAAGCATTTGATTTCTTCATGCTTGGACATATTGATTTGATATTTGGTGTATTCTTTACAGATCAAGTTCGAATTTTGTTCCGGTCTGATGATTTTGTGCAGAGTTATGGTCCTTTGACTTAGAAAATTCACTAAAATAATCAGTTTTCCGCACATTTTTTTGTCATTCTTGAAGATATTGATTTGATAATTGGTATATAGTTTTATCATGACAAATTACAGTTCAAGTTAGAATTTTGTTTGGGTCTGATGATTTTGTGCAGAGTTATGGTCCTTGGACATAGAAAATTCACTCAAATAATCAGTTATCAATACTTTTTTTTTGGCATGCTTGAAGATATTGACTTGATATTTGTTATATAGTTTACACCATGACAAGTTATAGATCAAGTTAGAATTTTGTTCCAATACAATGAATTTTTAACCGGTAGGGGACTATGTATTGCCATGCAATACTCACAGAATGCTTGTTAACTGAGTTTTACTGTGCATATTGCTGTGTGTTTGTTTATTCTACATTGACTAGAGGTATAGGGGAGGGTGGAGATCTCACAAAACATGTTTAACCCAGCCACATTTTTGCACCTGTCCCAAGTCAGGAGCCTCTGGCCTTTGTTAGTCCATTATGTTTTTATACGCCCGTTTACGGGACGTATTATGGTATACCGTTGTACGTCCGTCTGTCCGTCCGTCCGTCGTCAACATGTCGGACATTAACTCAAAAACGCTTTAACCAATTTGCTTAAAACTGTGGTGAATTGTTTATATCTATTGACGTGAGCTCCCTTTCGTTTTTTATAAATTTTAGATTTTACGTTTCCGAGTTATGGGGTTTTATTCATTAAAAAAAGGGGGATTTTCCAGTTTTCAGACAATAACTCAAGAATGCTTTCACCAACTTGCAAGAAATTTTGGTTAATTGTTTATATCTATTGACATGAGCTCCCTTTGGATTTTTATAAATTTTAGATTTTACGTTTCTGAGTTATGGGGTTTTATTCATAAAAAAGGGGGGATTTTCCAGTTTTCAGACAAAGACTCAAAAATGCTTTCAGCAGTTCTCATGAAACTTTGATGAATTGTTGATATCTATTGATGTAAACTCCCTTTAGAATTTTATAAATTTTATTTGTTTATAGTCTGACAACAGATTTACTAAGTATTGCGCAACAGCACAGTGTATTGCACAACAGCAAGAAATCTTTAATTGAATATAAATTCAATTCATATAACCAACTTCAAGTTCTTTGACTACATTTATTCAGAAACCTATAATAGATGTATGTCAAATATTTAATTACAATCCAAATTCAGACCTGTATCAAGCTTGAATATTGTGTCCATTTTTACCCCAACTGTTCAGGGTTAGACCTCTGCTGGCGTATCCAGCTGCGCTCAGCGAAGCAGTTTATTTTATTTTAGTTCATTTATATGTTTCGGAGTGTGACATCCATTTTCACTGATCTAGTACACATTTTTATACGCCCGTTTACGGGACGTATTATGGTATACCGTTGTCCTTCCATCCATCTGTCCGTCTGTCCGTCCGTCGTCAACATGTCTTACAATAACTCAAAAACGTTTTAAACAATTTGCATGAAACTTTGTTGAATTGTTTATATCTATTGACGTGAGCTCCCTTTCGTTTTTTTATAAATTTTAGATTTTACTTTTCTGAGTTATGGGGTTTAATATACTAAAAAAGGGGTGAATTTCCAGTTTTCAGACAATAACTCAAAAATGCTTTAAACAGTTTTCATGAAACTTTGATAAATTATTTATATCTATTGAAATGAGCTGCCTTTCAATTTATATAAATTTTAGATTTTAGGTTTCCTAGTTATGGGGTTTTATTCATTAAAAAAGGGGGATTTTCCTGTTTTCTGACAATAACTCAAAAGTGCTTCAAGCAGTTTTCATGAAACTTTGGTGACTGGTTTATATCTATTGACGCGAGCTCCCTTTAGTTCTTTTATAAATTTCTGATAGACATTGAGGAGTTATGGAATGTTATTCTTTGTAAAAGCGAAGGGCGTATCATGCACTCATGGCGCAGCTTTTTATTGTTTAAGGGGCCAGCTGGAGCCCGCCTCCTGGTGCGGAATTTTCTCACTGTGTTGAAGACCCATTGGTGGCCTTGGGCTGTTTTCTGCTCTTTGGTCGGGTTGTTGTCTCTTTGACACGTTCCCCATTTCCATTCTCAATTTTATTACACAGCTTTAATCACTAATGAAAATGATTAGGTTACAGAAGAAAAACATCCAATTTGTCATTTTATTTTTTAAGTCTTCAATTTTCAAAATTTCTTACTTTCGAATTTCGAGACATCAGGGTCAATTAACATTTATTTTACATCGACTATAAAATGAACTCCACTTAATTGAGATTTTGAATCAACCGAGGTCGACACTACAACATAGAAATCTTTTATTATAAAATTATAAATTATAAAATAAAAACAAAGGATATGGGGTATTCATCCATGACACAAAATCAGTACATGAACAGCAAAAAACACACACAAAAAATGCAAAAGAACAGGGCTTTTATTACTGTTCTTTATCTGAAAGTCACAGTGAAGCCTTCAACATGGAGCAAAAAAACTCTCACCTCACTGCTAGTTTAAGACAGTCCTTAGCACCGGCTGAGCGGAATTCTTTTTATAAGTCTTTTTATGATTGATCATCATGATCATAGGAGAAATGTTTTATGTTTTTGTTTACTAAACCATGTCATCATTCTGATTGTAACTTTAGCAAATGGAGGGTTTTTTCCCTGGAGCAGCACAAGGACTTACTGAATATCATGACTTAACAAGTGTGTTGGTGGATGGAGGGGACAGGTTTGGTGTCTCTGCCTTGACCTTTGATAAACAAGATCTATTATGGATGGGCAATTCAGGGGTATGTCTTACATGTGTCTTAGTTTAATTATGTTTCCAACATTAGTACATGTCTTTGTGTCAGAATTGTGTATTTTTATCACCAAAGAATTAAAATAAAACAATAAACAACAGAATTGCCTGTCTTGGTATTTGCAGACAATCTACTTTAGGGATGACAATCGTCATCCGTTTTTGCTCCAAAAATAATGTTAACAGTTGTTGGATATTGGATCATAACAGGTAAACGTCCAATTTCATATTTTTATACGACCGCAAAAATCGTATATTGGTATGACGTTGGTGTCGTCGTCCTCAGAAGACACATTGGTTTTCGCACAATAACTTTAGTTTAAGTGAATGGATCTCTATGAAATTTTACCATAAGGTTCAATACCACAAAATGAAGGTTGGGATTGATTTTGGGGGTTATGGTCCTAACAGTTAAGGAATTAGGGGCCAAAAAGGGGCTAAAAATAAGCATTTTTATAACTTCCAGACAATAACTTGTGTTTAAGTGTATGGATCTCTCTGAAATTATACCACAAGTTTCCATACCACAAAGGGATGGTTAGGATTTGCTTTGGGGGGTTATGGCTCAAACCGTTTAGGAATTAGGGGCAAAAAAAGGAAAAAAAACGAGGGTTTCCTGGTTAATGGACAATTTAAAAGCAGTATAAGGGAGGTAATCCAAAAACAAAATTGTACAATGTTGTACAATGTTGGATTACCTCCCTTACACTGCTTTTAAATTATCTATTTAAGACTTTTATGATGTATTTAAATTGGTAATTATGGTTGCAAACTCCATTGGAAATTTGAATTTTTTTTTTATATTTCAGATTTCAGAAATTATAAAGAAAATTTCTTCAAATATTTTTCAAAAAAAAGGGGGGGGTGGGGTCAATACGCAACAGCATAGTGTATTTCACAAAAGCAAAAAATTGAATATAAATTCAAATCATATAACCAATTCTAAGTTCTTTGACTACAGTTATTCGGTGTCAAAAACCTATTAGGTGTCAAATATTTAATTACAATCCAAATTCAGACCTGTATCAAGCACGAATATTGTGTCCATTTTCGCCCCAACTGTTCAGGGTTGAACCTCTGTGGTCGTATCCAGCTGCGCTCAGTGAAGAAGTTTATTCAGTTCTGTGTCAGAAACCTATGTAGTGTCCATACTTGCCCCAAATGTTCAGGGTTTGACCTCTGCGATTGTATCAAGCTGCGCCCAAGGAGCATTTTTATTAACACTCATAATAAAGTGACGTTAAGTTTATTTTACGATTTCGAAATGTAAAGCTATACATAAACTATAAACTGAGAGGTTACTTTCCTTTTAAAAATTTAGTCGCCTGTTACTTCATGAATTATATGACGCTATTGGAAATTGTACTAAACAGCCAATCTAAATTTGTTCAATTTAAAGATTTTTTTGTGAGACCGAATTAGTTACCGCCAAAATAGCATATTTAGAAAAAGATAGATGTTTTAATAAATTATGAAATGTAAATAAAATATTTAAGTTCAATTTTTTCCCCCGTATCTGTATTCAATATATTAAAATTTGTTTCAAGAGGTAAACATTTGCATAGTTATAATTCCTTATTTAACTCTTTTAAGACCACTGTCCTGTTTGAATTCAACTTGCCTGTTGGGAATTGAAATACAAGTAAAAAAGCAATTTTTACATGGTATGCTGTATACTTATAATATTTTAATATTATAATCGAAGCACGCTTGTGTTGATACTTTTTTTTCTCTCCCTCCCTTTTCAAACTCTTGTTTTTTTTTAATGAGAAGTTTGAAAATATGCCAGATAGTGGACAACTATATTTGGAAGAAGAAGAAAAAATATAATGGTCATTAAAAAAGGACCATGATACAAATTTTTCATATTTTATTTTATTTTGTGAAAGATTTGTATTGTTAGTCCTACTATACAAGGCCACAATTAAAAATATTTCAGTTTGCCCAAACCCGACCCATGATGACTGGGTGTGGGTAGGTAGGTAGGCAAATTCTTTTTTTTTTATCAGAATTTGCATGAAAATATTAAAACAGTATATCTTTTTTTTCCGTCAAACCTTTGTAGAGACAATCAAAAGCCATGAAAAACTGTCTGCCATTTTCACATGTTTTACTTCTTCACAGGGATGTCACTAGGTTTTGAAGTAGCAGGATTAATAATTAAAGTAGCAGGCAAGGATTGTCGGTTCGACGAGCTTGCTCGTAGCCCATCACGGCGAGGGTTTTTTTTCTAAAATGGTTCAAAAATCCTGCATTCTGGGGGCTCCTGAACTCTAATTTAGTCCTAATCAAACACCATTTTTTTTAATGATGATAAGGTAAATGAGCAGCAAGATGGTCACATATTTTCTATAAAGTTGATCACATAAATATTATTATCACTATAACAAGACTTTCAGCTAACAAGTAGTTGAAGTTGTTTGAGGAAAATGATGAAGGATGACTCTGTAAGACATGATGATCATTCAGGAAAAGATTCAAATTTGATCTTATTAGTTGAAAATATTTTTAGTTTAACTGTAGACATGCAATTATTCAAATAATTCGAACCCATAGACATTTTTTTTTATTTCTCAGTATTAATAATTTCACATACTTATTACAATAAATCAGATGATGAATTGGACTGTTGCAGGCAAAAAGGTGAACTCTGTAAGGATGTACTTTGGTGAAATTAGAAAAATGTAGAATTTAAAATTGATACTATAAGTCAGAAGACTTCAAGAGCATTTAAGTTAAGAAGCAAACTAATGGAAAGAGAAGAAATCTACAATCTGCTTAAATTTTGGTATATGACCTTTTATGAGCTATTAATTGAAGTATTATGTATGGAAAAAAAATGGGGGTCATGGGGCAAAATATTTTACCCTGTATCGTAGGAAAAAACCAGAGTCCAAACATCTGACAGAAATTCCAAAACCTGACCTAAGTACATCCTTAAATGCATAATCATGCAGGGCTCACACTACTTCAGAATCATAGGGAGAAGTGACTTCTCTTTTTTAAACTGATAGGGAGAAGTGCTCCTTTGCACACTGTGCTACAATTGTTTGGTTTTTACTACCTATAGTACAAAGGGTCATATGTAAATAATGTTCTTTTTATATTGTTCAATTCATATCTGAGTATACAATTAAAGTAAAAGTTCAAATTCAAAGTTGTTTAAGTTTAGGTTCTTGTGAGAAACTACCAACTAAATATCTAGCACTAAAAAGATGACAAAAAGATAAAGAAATTATAATATATAAATCACAATTCAATTAAAAAACTATCTTGTTTATCATGTTTATGAAATTCAGTGTTTCTCATCAAAAGATATACAAAGATAAGCTGGGCCATATATCATGTATATATTGATTTATTTTCTAGTCCCAGGGTTAATTAAGCAAGTTTAATCAATATTTTGAAACAATCCATATATATGGAATTATATACATTAATCAAGTAAATCTAACAAATAGTCTGTTAATGCGTGTGGAATGCGCAATTTTTTCATTTGGGACCAATTTCCTTGTCAGCTGTTCCATTCATGTGTCTGTAGTTATTATTGTAAAAATACGGATTTCGGTCATAGCTGGTCCGTTTCCCATCCGTAGTTAGAAAACAGTTAATGGCGGACGATGAAAATTTACAAAAATAAACGATGTTTGACAAGCTATTTGGAAAGGAATATAACGTTTTTAATGCAATAAATGGATTAAACATTTACTGGAGGCAATTTTTATCACGTTCAAATGAAGTAACAAACTTACTTTGTCGCCGAATTAGATTGATGTACGATCTCGTGTAACAAGTACCGGAAGTGAATGAAGTGATAAAAAGTTGTCTTTTTATTAAATAATCTGCTTCACACTGTAAAGTCAATGCTTAAATCTCTGTTCTTCAATGTTTATCAATGTTTCATCGACTTGGTAAAAAATGAAAACTTTGTGAAAATATTATTTTTGACAATTTTGAAGTAGCCGGCGCCAAAGCAGAAGTAACCGTTCGTTAAATCAGAAGATAAAAACCGACAACATCGAATATCGATTAACTGTGTCTCTGACACGCTTTCTTTTAATCTTATTCACAGTTACTTTCAAACGCAAAGACGACGAACATTAAGTTTTATACGATGACGGAGCGGACACGAAAAAGATCCGAAAAAAAAAAAATTCTTCAAAAAAACGGCAAAAAGAATTTGAGTCGGCGGGTTTTTTTTGGGTCGGTCGCATTTGGGCAAACATACCATATTTTTTATTTTGGCCCAAATCCTTACACAAGTTAACAAATTTTTCATCTTTCGTCGTATAGATTAAAAGTAAATAAAACAAATATATAATTCTGATATTTGATATGCATCCTTTAAAGATAGCGTGGGAAGTTGACAAGTCAAAAGGAATATATTGTGTCTCAGAGATAGCCGATTGATTAAACATTATAAGAACTTATTAGAAACAATCTTTAATAAATTTTTTTATCGTCCCGCCTGCAATGAATGTCGCAGAATGCAAGACATAGGGATTACAATCCGGCGGCAATGACAGCATAAACTTTTTGTATAAAGCTTTATATTTCAGAAGCTAGAAGACCTTGTATGCAGATACTTTATGTTATTAAGTTTCTGTCTGTCATATGTCCATTGTCCTTGACCTCATTTTCATGGTTCAGTGACTGCTTGAAAAAAATTTACTGTTTTTTGGAAAAGTAAAATACTCTCTTATTGTGAGTAATAGGATAACTATATTTGGTATATGGGTTCCTTGCAACGTCTACATGTCCATCAGGTAGGATTCACCTGACCTCGACCTCATTTCATGGATCAGTGATCAAGGTTAAAGTTACGTGGTCAAGTCCGTATCTCAGATATTATAAGCAGTAGGTCAACTATATGTGGTGTATTGAATGATTTTAAGGTGTACATGTCTGATTTGTAGGTTTTATTTTACCTTGACCTCATTTTCATGGTTCATTTGAACAATGTTTAGTTTTTGTGGTTCGTTCTATTTCTCAGATACTATAAGCAATAGGGCCACTATATTTGGTGTATGGAATGATTTTAAGATGTACATGTCCGACTGGTAGGTTTTCTTCTGACCTTGACCTCATTTTCATAGTGCCTTGGTCAATGTTAAGATTTTGTTATTAGTCCCCTACCGACAAAGTCGAAGGGGACTTTAGGTTTGCACTCCGTTAGTCTGCATGTCTGTCTGTCCATCTGTCTGTCTGTCTGTCTGTCCATCTGTCAGTCCGGCAAATCAGTTTTCCAGACTTTTTTTCTTCGTGCTTGAAGATATTGATTTGATATTTGGTTTATTTATTTATCATGACAGGTTACAAGTCAAGTTCAATTTTCACAATTTTAGCTTTTCTCTTTGTTCAGTTAAAGCCCTTTCTCTAGAATTAAATTTTTTATGAAATACTTATAATTAGTAGATTTCTGTTCAAAGGGAAATAACTCATTTTTATTTTAAAGATTTTTAAAAGACAAAATGACATTTTGGATTTTTTTCCTTTTCTTTGGTAAATTGTTTGAAGAATTTAGTGGTAGGTTTGTTTGTCTTTCTTGAAGATATTGATTTGATAATTAGTGTGTAGTTTTGTCATGACAAGTTACAGATCAAGTTGGAATTTTGTTCCAGTCTGATAATTTTGTGCAGAGTTATGGTCTTTGGACAAAGAAAATTCACTTAAATAATCAGTTTTCAACAGTTTTTTTCGTCATGCTTGAAGAATTTGACTTGATGTTTTTATGTAGTTTACACCATGACAAATTATAGATCAAGTTAGAATTCCGTTCCATTACAATGAATTTGTAACCGGTAGGGGACTATGTATTGCCATGCAATACTCACAGAATGCTTGTTTGATCTGTTTCTCAGGTTCTATAAGCGATAGGACCACTATATTTGGTGTATGGAATGATTGTTAGATGTACATGTCTGTCTGGCATGGTTCATTTGACAGTGACCTTATTTTCATGGATCATTGATGATGTTAAGTTTATTTGGTACTTGTAAAACCTTCATATTACAGACTTTCAACATGAATTCAATCATCATATTACAGACTTTCAACATGAATTCAATCATAAGTAAAACAGGGGAGACATTTCAGCATATGCACTTTTGTCTTATAAAGCTGTGAACATGTGCAGAATCCTTGTTCATATTTTTTTTTAACGAACACTCATTTGAACTGATACATAATTTTTAGATTTTGTTTGTAATTAAATTTATAAGTTATAAATTATGGAATTAACAAATTTGTTGGCACCCGTGTAAAAAAATGTTGCCTATCGATTTTTTGAGCGTTTTTACCCATTTCATGATATGTAAAAGCAGACTTCTATATCTGACAAGTGCCCTTAACTAAGTGACAAGTAGACTTTATTAAGTGACAAGTAGACTTTATCAACTGACAAGTCGACTTGTGTTATCTGACAAGTCGATTTGTGTTTCTGATAAGTGCACTTGTGTATCTGACAAGTGTACTTGTGTATCTGGCAAGTCTACTTATGTATTTGACAAGGCGACTTGTGTATCTGACAAGTTAACTTATGTATTTGAAATAGTTGGTCATCTTACTGATAAACTTCATAAAAATTCATTAAGAGATGTAAGTGTTATACTGGTCAATATAAATTACATTTCAAAGAGACAAAACTTCTGTAAAAATGAAATGCTCCACTGGGTATATTTGGTGCATGTTATGATTGTATGGTGAACATATCTGTATGGCAGGGTTTGTCTGACCTTGACCTCATTTACATGGATCATTTATAATGTTAAGTTTATGTTATACTTGTAGTAAAACCTTCATCTTACAGACTTTCAACATAAGCTTTATCATGATAAGTAAATTCAACATATCTTCAATCATGATAAGTAAAGCAGGGGTGACATTCATGTACTTTTCATGTTTTTATCTTGTTTAAAGATTATTGAGGTTAGCCAGTTGTTTAATATTTTGTTCTTTTATATTTTACAACAGGGTCATGTAACAGGTTACTATGGGTTAGAAATGCAGAAGTATACATCATTTCAAGTACACATGACAGAAGACATTCGACAGATGATACCAATTCAGCGTGGAATACTGTCTCTGACAAGAAGTACACTGAATTGTTCACTACGGAGAGGTCTAAGTTTGTTCAATTACAAGTAAGAAGTTATTTCCTACCTAAACATGATCTACGATTTGATAAAGAAAAAAATGTTGAAAGCTTTTTTTTTCTGAATAATATACAATAAAATTTGTATAAATCGGGACTTTGAAAAACGGCCAGTTTGGACAGTTAGTCGGTTTATTCAGGTTTCCAGATTAACAGGAAGTTATTGAATATTTCTTTCATATTGTAAACTATAAACTAATAAAATAAATGCAAAAAATGCAAAAAAATGTCTTATTTAAAGTCATATGAAACTTCAGATTTATAAAAAAAGTTGAATATGTTTTAAATACTTGAAAGGCTCAGTTTTACTGAAGAACAAGAACGTAAACATATATAGCAAAACTAACACAGGATAAATGATCAGCAGGTCAAGATCTGTAAGTGAGGAAATTTTCAGACGAATCGGACAACCAATTTGGAGTTATTGCCCCTGAAATATGAATTTTTATGATTTTTCTCAGTTTTTATACGACTGCAAAAAAATTTTGCGGTGGTATATTGGTATGACGTTGGCATCGTTGTCCGGCTTCGTCTACGTTGTCCGAAGACATATTGGTTTTCGCACTCTAACTTTAGTTTAAGTGAATGGATCTCTATGAAATTTTACCATAAGGTTCAATACCACAAAAGGAAGGTTGGGATTGATTTTGGGGGTTATGGTACCAACAGTTAAGGAATTAGGGGCCAAAAAGGGGCCAAAAATAAGCATTTTTGTAACTTCCAGACATAACTTGTGTGTTAGTGTATGGATCTCTCTGACATTGTACCACAAGGTTCCATATCACAAAGGTAATGCTGGGATTGATTTTGGGGGTAATTGCCTCAAAATTTTAGGAATTGAGGCAAAAAAAGGGACAAAAAACAAGCATTTTTCTAGTTTCATGACAATAACTTGTGTGTAAGTGTATGGATCTTTCTGAAATTGTACTGCAAGGTACCATACCACAAAGGGAAGGCTGGGATTGAGTTTGGGGGTGATGAATCATAAGGGGGTTCAAAAAATTTGGGGGGGGGGGGATTTTTTTTCCTTTTGTTTTTTTTTTTCCTTTTTTTCCTTTTTTTTTTTCTTTAAAATATTCCATTTTAAGTTGGTTATTTCTGATTTATATAAAAAAAACTTCAAAATTTTAGGAATAAGGGGCCAAAAAGGGGCAAAAAACAAGCAATTTTTCTAGTTTCATGACAATTACTTGTGTGTAAGTGTATGGATCTTTCTGAAATTGTACTACAAGGTTCCATATCATAAAGGGAAAGCTGGAATTGAGTTTGGGGGTAATTGCCCTAAACGTTTAGGAATAAGGGGCCAAAAAGGGGCCAAAAATAAGCATTTTTCTAGTTTCCAGACAATAACTTGTGTTCAAGTGTATGGATCTCTCTGAAATTGTACCACAAGGTTTCATATCACAAAGGGAATGCTGGGATTGATTTTGAGGTAATTGCTTCAAAATTTTAGGAATAAGGGGCCAAAAAAGGGGCAAAAAACAAGCATTTTTCTAGTTTCATGACAATAACTTGTGTGTAAGTGTATGGATCTTTCTAAAATTGTACTACAAGGTTCCATATCTTAAATGGAAAGCTGGAATTGAGTTTGGGGGTAATGCCTAAACGTTTAGCAAAAAGGCGCCAAAAATAAGCATTTTTTTAGTTTCCAGACAATAACTTGTGTTCAAGTGTATGGATCTCTCTGAAATTGTACTGCAAGGTACCATACCACAAAGGGGAGGTTGGGATTGATTTTGGGGGTAATTGCTTCAAAATTTTAGGAATTAGGGGCCTAAAAAGGGGCAAAAAACAAGCATTTTTCTAGTTTCAGGACAATAACTTGTTTGTAAGTGTATAAATTTTTTTGAAATTGTACTACAAGGTTTCATATCACAAAGGGAAAGCTGGGTTTGAGTTTGGGGGTAATTGCCCTAAACGTTTAGGAATTTGGGTCTAAAAGGGGCCAAAAAACAAGCATTTTTCTAGTTTCCAGACAATAACTTGTGTTCAGGTATATGGATCTCTCTGAAATTGTACTGCAAGGTTTCATATCACAAAGGGAAGGCTGGGATTGAGTTTGGGGGTGATGAATCATAAGGGGGTTCAAAAAATTTGGGGGGGGGGGATTTTTTTTTCCTTTTTTTCCTTTTTATTTTTCTTTAAAATTTTCCATTTTAAGTTGGTTATTTCTGATTTATATAAAAAAACAAACAATAATGATATGGTTTGAATAGGTAAATTAAAAAAATTTAAGTTCTTAGACCACATTCATTCTGTGTCAGAAACCTATGCTGTGTCAAATATTTTATCACAATCCAAATTCAGAGGTGTATCAAGCTTGAATGTTGTGTCCATACTTGCCCCAACTGTTCAGGGTTCGACCTCTGCGGTCGTATCAAGCTGCGCCCAGCGGAGCATTTTATTGGTTGTTATCTTGAAAACTATTATAGTTTAAGAGAATCTCCAAACAGCAAAAATGTTCAGCAAAGTAAGAGCGACAAATAAGTCAACCTGACAGAAATTGCCTGTACCAAGTCAGGAATATGACAGTTGTTTTCCATTCGTTTGATGTGTTTGAGCTTTTAATAAGGGACTTTCCGTTTTGAATTTTCCTTGGAGTTCGGTATTTTTGTGAAACTTTGAAACTTTGAAACTTTTTATTGATCTCTTTTAGGAGTTATTGCCCTTGAAAAATAATTTTTACCATTTTTATGCCCCCGCCGTAGCTGAATTTGGTGGCGTCACTTTTACCATTCTTGAGTTATGTCCCTTTATAAACATAAAAATTGCTGAATTTTTCGTTTCCGTTCTCTAACTTTAGTTTGTCTCAACCAAATGTTATAAAACTTAAACACAACCGTTCTAGAGTTATGCGTGTTTACAAATAGAAAAATTGCTGAATTTTTAGTTTCTGTTCTCTACTTAAGTTAGCCTCAACCAAATGTTATGAGACTTACACACAATGCTTATTTCCACAAAACTCAGATCAAGTTCAAATTTGGGTAGCGTCACTTTTACCGTTCTTCAGTTATGTCTCTTTATAACTATATGATATGCAAGCGGGGGCATCATCTGTGTCCACATGTGGACACAATCCACATTTATTTTTTAGTTTTTCGCACAAATTATGATAGATAGACAGAAACTTTGAACAGCAAAAAAGTTCAGAAAAGTAAGAGCACCAAACAAGTCAAACTTGACCGAAATTGTCAATTGACCACTTTTAGGAGTTATTGCCCTTGAAAGTTAATTTTTACCAAATTTTTTAGCTTTTCGCAGAAACTATGATAGAAAGAGAGAAACTTTGAAAAACAAAATGTTCAGCAAAGTAAGACCTAATAATAAGTCAACATGACCAAAAATGTCAATCTATTCCTTATAGGAGTTATTGCCCTTGAAAGATGATTTTTACCAATTTTTGTAGTTTTTGCAGAAACTATTATAGAAAGAGAGAATCTTTTAAAGGCATCTTTAAACACGCATTAATATACATTAAACAGCAAAATAGTCATTGATGCAAGATCTACACAAAAAATCCAAGTGTGTGATTCAGGCTCTTAGGAGCCTCTTGCTTTTTATACGACCGCAAAAAATTTTTGCGGTCGTATATTGGTATGACGTTGGCGAAAACTAAGCATTAAAATAAAAATAGGATTAAAGTGTGATTTATTTAGAAACATGGGCAGTGAACTGTTGTTTCTTCATCACAAGATAAAAAAAAATATAAGAAGAATCAGTGTTTCATGATCAACTGTGATACATGATACAAGCATTAAAAATGTTTTGCATACATTAAAGGGCCATTAGCTACAAAATATGAAAACAATAAGATAAAATATGATTATTTTATTTTGTTCAATCATTAATGAATGTGAAATAGTGAAATAATAATTCCCTTTTAGCAGCCAGTTTGGTTCAATTTTGTCAAAATAAGCTAAGAAGTATTGCTGATGAATTATTCACTTGCAAGTCAATAATTCGATCTCATTGAATTCGTATTCATATGAACTTCAATTTAACCCCTTAGCTGGACATGGGTTACCCATGTATTCAGCTATTAAAAGGAAAAGAATGTCAACATTGAAATTGAAACAAGGATGAACCATTTGGTTGACTGATTCGATCTACAAAAAGATTGTTCTTGACAGGTAAAAAGGATGATTAACCTACAGTATGAAATCAAACAAACCTACAAAAAATCTTATTGCACGTGGTCACTATCTATTTATATTTACCTTTATGTTTATATCGGGTTATATGACCGTCTGTAGTCTTCGGAGGTCATCTCGCTGGTTAATTAGATGACGTCTAGACAAAAATACACATGAAATGCTGTTACATATTATAGAGTCCAGGCATTTATAATTGGTTATTTTAGACTTTTTGTAATTTGGATATACATTTTAGTATGTTATAAATCAAATTTGAAAATTTTAATCAAATTGGTGAACATGAATTTAACAGCTAATGCCCTTTTTAAACCAACTAATTTAAGATAACTAATAAATTATTTTTCCATCATCAGTGGGTTTCAGCCAATAACATTAAAATTTTGTGAGAAACTTCAACTAGTTCGATTGATAACAAGTACTACTTCCATGCCTCATCGGCTCTAAATATAAATCTTTACTGATTTACATATGATTCTTTTGAAAGTAATAATTCCACAGTGTGTTGATATATTCATTTTTTATATGCAAAGTGCAAATGACTATTGAGTAACATTAGTATTAAACTGTATTTATGTCATTGTTATTTTAAGATAATAAAATTGTTTTAATGCCAGGTCCCCCTGTATGCAGGAGATGCAATGTATGATCATGACCAGTCCTAATACAGTCTTGATGGGAGGACACCAGACTAAGGTCTTACAATTGGATATTGAAGGCATGCGAGAAATACGACAGGTGATTTTATAAGTATCTTTGTGAAACTTGTTTAATATATGTGATTGATATTTTTATGCCCCCGCCGTAGCGGTGGGGGCATTAAGTTTTTACCCTTATCCGTCTGTACGTAAGTACGTACATACGTCCCAAAATTGATTTCCGTTCTCTAACTTGAGTTTGCCTCAACCAAATGTTATGAAACTTATACACAATGCTTATTACCACAAAACACAGATCAAGTTTGAATTTTGGTGGCGTCACTTTAACTGTTCTAGAGTTATGCCCCTTTATAAATGGAAAAATTGCAAAATTTTTAGTTTCCGTTCTCTAACTTAAGTTTGCCTCAACCAAATGTTATGAAACTTATACACAATGCTTATTACCACACAACACAGATCAAGTTTGAATTTTGGTGGCGCCACTTTAACCGTTCTAGAGTTATGCCTCTTTGTAGATGGAAAAATTGCAAAATTTTTATTTCTAAATATCAAGTAATTTTTATACGACCGCAAAAAATTTTGCGGTTGTATATTGGTATGACGTTGGCGTCGTCGTCGTCCAGGGTCGTCTTCGTTGTCTTCGTCAGAAGACATTGGTTTTCGCACTCTAACTTTAGTTTAAGTAAATGGATCTCTATGAAATTTTACCATAAGGTTCAATACCACAAAAAGAAGGTGGGGATTGATTTTGGGGGTTATGGTACCAACAGTTAAGGAATTAGGGACCAAAAATAAGCATTTTTGTAACTTCCAGACATAACTTGTGTGTTAGTGTATGGATCTCTCTGACATTGTACCACAAAGTTCCATATCACAAAGGGAATGCTGGGATTGATTTTGGGGGTAATTGCCTCCAAATTTTAGGAATTAGGGGCCAAAAAGGGGCAAAAAACAAGCATTTTTCTAGTTTCATGACAATAACTTGTGTGTAAGTGTATGGATCTCTCTGACATTGTACCACAAGGTTCCATATCACAAAGGGAATGCTGGGATTGATTTGTGGGGTAATTGCCTCAAATTTTTAGGAATTAGGGGCCAAAAAGGGGCAAAAAACAAGCATTTTTCTAGTTTCATGACAATAACTTGTGTAAGTGTATGGATCTTTATGAAATTGTACTACAAGGTTCCATATCACAAAGGGAAAGCTGGGTTTGAGTTTGGGGGTAATTGCCCTAAACGTTTAGGAATTTGGGGCCCAAAAAGGGGCCAAAAAACAAGCATTTTTCTAGTTTCCAGACAATAACTTGTGTTCAAGTGTATGGATCTCTCTGAAATTGTACTGCAAGGTACCATACCACAAAGGGAAGGCTGGGATTGAGTTTTGGGGTGATGAATCATAAGGGGGTTCAAAAAATTTGGGGGGGGATTTTTTTTTCCTTTTTTTTCTTTAAAATTTTCCATTTTAAATTGGTTATTTCTGATTTATATATAAAAGCAAATAATAATGATATGGTTTGAATAGGTAAATTAAGAATTTTTAAGTTCTTAGACCACATTCATTCTGTGTCAGAAACCTATGCTGTGTCAAATATTTAATTACAATCCAAATTCAGTGCTGTATCAAGCTTGAATGTTGTGTCCATACTTGCCCCAACTGTTCAGGATTCGACCTCTGCGGTCGTATCAAGCTGCGCTGCAGCGGAGCATTTTATTATATTTTTGCGGTCGTATATTAGTATGACATTGGCATCTTCGTGATGTCGTTTGAAGACACCAGACTACACGAAATGAGTCGGACCGTCGGACAAATCCAGTGAATAATGGATCGGTCTGGTAACATTTTGTTGAATTCCGGTCCGAATGTCAGGTGTTGTTTATTTTTCATGGTTTTTCTAGCATTCTAGCAAAATTCCCAAACGATCTCAAAATTCATTTTCATCATTATTATTCATGACAGCGATGTTTATTTTGTTCAACCGCTAGCTTTATGTCGAAAATCGCCAACAAGTAATGTGAAATTCTGAGTAAAAACATATCTGACTGACGAAAACAACAATGGCTGCCATCAACCGGAAATGTAGACAATATCGGATCAGATTCCAGGAACGGATAAGGCAAATATTCCGAGTTTGCCGATCAAATACAATAAATAAATTTTAAAAAATCCAAGCAGGTCACAAAATACAGCTGTGAAATATAAACACTAGAACTGAAAACCAAGATATATGAAAAAGAAAGAAGAAACAGGAAATATTTTATACAGAAACTCTAAATAATTTTAGTTCACAAATAATTTTCAGTTTAAATCCATTAAAATATGACATTACTTTTCTTTATCACTGAAATGCATTCAAGCAATTGTGCACAACTTTCATCACTTTTACACTCTTGTCACATGATTTCGTTTTTGTGTGTTGGAGAGGAGTAGGGCACAAGTTAACAAATCATAAGTTTTTTTGTATTTTGTCGGATAATATACAATAAGATGTGAAAAAAAAAGGTCTGGTAAAATTTAATTCGGTCTGGTAATTAAAGCTAGGTTGTTTACCAGACCGAATGTCCTGTAAAAATAAAATTCATTCCTGTAGTCTGAGACACATTTGTTTTAGCACAATAACTTGAGTTTAAGTGAATGGATCTCTATGAAATTTTACCACAAGGTTCAAGACCGCAAAAGGAAGGTTGGGATTGATTTTGGGGGTTATGGTACCAACAGTTAAGGAATTAGGGGCCAAAAAGGGACCAAAAATAAGCATTTTTCTAGTTTCCAGACAATAACTTGTGGAACGGTGTATGGATCTCTCTTGAGGGATGGTTAGGATTTGCTTTGGGGGGTTATGGCTCAAACCATTTAGGAATTAGGGGCAAAAAAGGGGGAAAAACAAGGGTGTCCTGGTTAATGAACAAATACTTTAGTACAAAACATAATTTAAAGCAGTGTAAGGGAGGTAATTCAAATATATCATTTGAACTACCTCCCTTACACTGCTTTTAAATTATGTATAAAGTAATGGTTAATGAACAATTAAGACAATTTAAAAGCAGTGTAAGGGAGGTAATCCAAATACAACGTTTTGATTACCTCCCTTACACTGCTTTTAAATTATGTTTAAAGAAATGCATATTTATAAAGGAAGACCAGTAAAAATATCTGCAAATGTTGCATCTTTTTTTATTCGACTGCAAAAAAATTTTGCAGTTGTATATTGGTATGACATTGGCGTCGTTGTCGTTGTCTTTGTCGACGTCACATTGGTTTTCGCACTCTAACTTTAGTTTAAGTGGAGGATCTTTATGAAATTTTACCATAAGGTTCAATACCACAAAAGGAAGGTGGGGATTGATTTAGGGGTTATGGTACCAACAGTTAAGGAATTAGGGACCAAAAATAAGCATTTTTGTAACTTCCAGACATAACTTGTGTGTAAGTGTATGGATCTCTCTGACATTGTACCACAAGGTTCCATATCGCAAAGGGAATACTGGGATTGATTTATGGGGTAATTGCCTCAAATTTTTAGGAATTAGGGGCCAAAAAGGGGCAAAAAACAAGCATTTTTCTAGTTTCATGACAATAACTTGTGTGTAAGTGTATGGATCTTTATGAAATTGTACTACAAGGTTCCATATCACAAAGGGAAAGCTGGGTTTGAGTTTGGGGGTAATTGCCCTAAACTTTTAGGAATTTGGGGCCAAAAAGGGGCCAAAAAACAAGCATTTTTCTAGTTTCCAGACAATAACTTGTGTTCAAGTGTATGGATCTCTCTGAAATTGTACTGCAAGGTACCATACCACAAAGGGAAGGCTGGGATTGAGTTTTGGGGTGATGAATCATAAGGGGGTTCAAAAAAATTGGGGGGGGGGGATTTTTTTTTCCTTTTTTTCCTTTTGTATATTGGTATGACGTTGGCGTCGTTGCCGTTGTCGTCGTCGTAGTCGTCCAGCGTCGTCGTCGTCGTCCAAAGACACATTGGTTTTCGCACTCTAACTTTAGTTTAATTGAATGAATCTTTATGAAATTTTACCATAAGGTTCAATACAACAAAAGGAAGGTGGGGATTGATTTTGGGGGTTATGGTACCAACTGTTAAGGAATTAGGGGCCAAAAAGGGGCAAAATACAAGCAGTTTTTATTTAGTTTCATGACAATAAAAAAAGTTTCATGACAATAACTTGTGTGTAAGTGTATGGATCTTTTTGAAATTGTACTATAAGGTTCCATATCACAAAGGGAAAGCTGGAATTGAGTTTTGGGGTTAATTGCCCAAAACGTTAAGGAATAAGGGGCCAAAAAGGGGCCAAAAATAAGCATTTTTCTAGTTTCCAGACAATAACTTGTGTTCAAGTGTATGGATCTCTCTGAAATTGTAGTGCAAGGTATCATACCACAAAGGGAAGGCTGGGATTAATTTTGGGGGTAATTGCCTCAAAATTTTAGGAATTAGGGGCCATAAAGGGGCAAAAAAACAAGCATTTTTCTAGTTTCAGGACAATAACTTGTGTGTAAGTGTATGGATCTTTCTGAAATTGTACTACAAGGTTCCATATCACAAAGGGAAAGCTGGGTTTGAGTTTGGGGATAATTGCCCTAAAGGTTTAGGAATTTGGGGCCAAAAAGGGGCCAAAAAACAAGCATTTTTATATGCCCGTTTACGGGACGTATTATGGTATACCTCTGTCCGTCCGTCTGTCCGTCGTCAACATGTCCGACATTAACTCAAAATTGCTTAAACCAATTTGCATAAAACTTTGGTGAATTGTTTATATCTATTGACGTGAGCTCCCTTTCGTTTTTTATAAAATTTAGATTTTACGTTTCCGAGTTATGGGTTTTTTTTCATTAAAAAAAGGGGGATTTTCCAGTTTTCGGACAATAAGTCAAGAATACTTTCACCAACTTGCAAGAAATTGTGGTGAATTGTTTATATCTATTGACATGAGCTCCCTTTTGATTTTTATACGACAGCAAAAAAAATTTGTTGTCGTATATTGGTATGACGTTGGCGTCGTCGGTCGTCGTCGTCCGGCGTCGTCGTCCAAAGACACATTGGTTTTCGCACTCTAACTTTAGTTTAAGTG